AGGAAGGTAGACTCATGACATAATCTCCCCTATCCCTGTCTCTTATACACATCTAGATGTGTATAAGAGACAGTTATAACATTAAGGGCTGTGTGAGCACTACGTCCCGGTCTGAAGCCATGTGAATAAGTGGAAAAGCGGGGTTCATAAATAGGTTCTAAGATCATTCTAAGAACTGTTTGTAGAAGAAAAAAAAAAAAAAAAAAGAACAAATTGCCAAAGAAAAGAAAAAAAGATGGGAGGTGGCATTTGTTTTGTTTGACTGATAACCCTTCCTCTGTCCTTCTTTTGACCAAATCTCTGCCTGTTCTCCTCCTGTTTTGTTATGTTTGGCTGTTCCCTTCTTCTTTTCTTTCCCTCTTTGTATTTTGGCTGTGTGCAAGTGGGTCAGAAGGGGGAAAAAAAACAAGAACAAATTGCCAAAGAAAAGAAAAAAAGATGGGAGGTCGCATTTGCTTTGTTCGACTGATAACCCTTCCTCTTCCCTTGTCCTTCTTTTGACCGAATCTCTGTCTGTTCTCCTCCTGTTTTGTTATGTTTGGTTGTTCCCTTCTTTTTTTCTTTGCCTCTTTGCCTTTTGGATGTGTGCAAGTGCGTCGATATGATACAAGGGGGTGGGGGCAGACGCAGCTCAACCTACATCCACGAGGGCGGCCTTGTACGCAAAAGGTTCTGAACAGGAGTTGTGCAAGGAAGAAGATTAAAAAAACGAATGATTTTTTTCTTGTGTTCTTTCTGTTTTTTTTTTCGCTTTTGCGCTCTGATATCCTTGTGACTATAGATGAAATACACTCACAGAATAATTGGAGATATCACAAGCGAATACCATATAACCTAGTTGGCTACAAGTAGAATAAGCAATAACCCTTGTATATACAGGGTCACCAGCCCGTACGTGCGGAGGGCCCCGGGCAGACCTCTGTACGTACAGGCGTTCGAGGTCTCGTATGGGGTCCGAAACCGACGGCGTTCGGCCCCCGCCAAAACAAATTTCGGGGCCTAAAAATAATGTTTT